GGGGGGGCGACAGACAGTCTGCTGGTCTCTGGAGCTTCAGTCTCCTCATCGCTGAAACCCTCATAAGATGACCCCCAAGATGTCTCGACTTTTCCCTGAAAAAGCTGACAGCCCAAACCCACTGCCATTGAGTCGATACCAGATTCCAGATTCCGACTCATAGCGACCGCATAGGACAGAGTAGAACAAAGACTGCAACTCTTTGCAGGAGTAGAAAGCCTCCTTTTTCTCACTCAGAACGGCTGGTGGTTCTGAACCAACAACCTTGACTTTTAGCAGTAAACTAACCCACCAACTGCCAGCAGACCAAATCCTAAGTTCTCACTCCAAACTCACTGCAATCGAGTCAATGCCGATTCATAGTGACCCTATAAAGACAGGGCAGAACTGCCCCTGCGGGATCCCAAGACGGTAATTCTTTACCCGAGGAGAAAGCTCATCTTTCTTTCTCCCTCGGAGTCCCTGGTGGGGTTGAACCGCTGACTCAGTGGCTAACAGCCAATGAGGAACCTGTGTCGGAGCCACCAGGGCCCCTGGGTGCTAAGTAGAGATCCAAAGGAGTCGAAGCAGGAATGCCACCAGAAACGGGTCCACCAGTGTCCCTTGCTGCCCTCTTCATAACGAACCACAAGGCGGAAGCCCCTGAAATGCCCATCCCCTGAGGAATGCGCGTGTAACCCACACCCACTGAGCCTGGCTCAGCCATAAACAGAGCTGATGCCGGCCAGAACATGGACGAGCCTCGAAAACACCACTGCCAGCTGAATGAAAGATGGCACCAAGGGACGGATAGTTTATGATCTCCTATTCCTAGTGACCCTACAGGACAGGGTCAAACTGGTCCTCGGATTTGCTGAGACTGTAACTCTTTACAGGAGTGCCAAGCCCCATCTTTCTCAGGCAGAGCGGCTGGTAGTTTCAAACTGCTGACCTTGGGCACTGCAGCCCAACGTTAAACCACCACGACATCAGGGCCACCTATATACAGACTCAAATTTATTACTGGTTGCCAGAATAAAAGGGGGTGGCAGTGATGGCTTGGGGGGAGGCACGGAGGGCACTGATTTTTAACATTTAGGGTGGTAAGACAGGGCAAGATATGACAAAATAACAATTTATAAACTATCAAGGGCTCATGAGGGAGGGGGGAACGGGAAGGGAGGGGAAAATGAGGACCTAATGGGGAGGGGATTAAGTGGAGAGGAAATGTTTTGAGAATGATGAGGGCAATGAATGTACAAATGCGCTTTACACAATGATGTGTGTATGGATTGTGGTAAGAGTTGTATGAGCCCCTAATAAAATGATTTTTTTTTAAAAGACTATAAATCTGTCAGGAAAGCCTGGTTTCATGGCTTGAGAACTGTATAAGCCATACAAGGCTCCAGGCTCAGAGGAGTCCTCCATTGGTTTTATGCCTTTTTATTGTGTTGAAATTCTAATAAATTTTGAATAAAGGGGAAAAAATTGGAAACGAAGGATCTCTCTCACTGCCATTGAGTGTATTCAGAGGCATGCCCACCCTGTAGGACAGGGTACAGCTGCGGGGGTGGGTGGGGGTGGGGGGGGTGTTGGGGTTCCAGGACTGTAACTCTTGACAAGAGTAGAAAGCCTCCTCTTCCTCCCACAGAATGCCTGGTGGTTTCCAACAGTTGACCTTGCAGCGGAAAAAAATGACCGTGAACAGATTATACTGTACAATGTTACAGAATTACACCTGCAAAAATGGCTGACTTGGCAAATGTGTCTTTTTACCACACGCACACACGCGCAACAATTTTTAATCCTATGAGCTAGGGTCAATCAGCATCTCCATTGTTCTGATGGGAAAACAAACAGAGGCGTGGAGAGAGGAAGAAATGTACTCACAGTCCCCCTGGGAAAGAAAGAGGGAGGGCTCTGGTTCAGACCCAGGGAGCTTTGGGGGAGCAAACAGGGGATCCTCAAAGAGTCAAACCCCTCCCTCTACCAGTCAATAACAGTCTGCTTACATCCCTCCCCGTCTACACCATAGGACAACCACCTTCTTTAGGGCTGACTGTGGAGATTCAAAGAGCCCCGTGGAATAGTGGGTTACGCATGGGACTGCTAACAGCAAGGGCAGCCCGTTGGAAACCGCCAGCCCCTCCCAAGGGAGAAGGAGGCGGCTTTCCACTTCCCGTAAAGAGTTACAGGCTTGGAAGCCCCCAGGGGCAGTTCCACCCTGTCTTACAGGGTCACTGGGAGCCAGAATGGACTCTGTGGCCATGAGTTGAGCTGTGGAGATTCAAAAGCATTCAGCACACAATTGGTCTCTGACTTCACCCACACCCCCTGCAATCACTGACTCTGTCCAGCCAGTTTTTTGTTTTTTTTTTGCTTTGGGTGGTATAGTGGTTACCACTGGGCTGCTAACCATAAGGTCAGCAGTTTGAAGCCATTCACTGCTCCTTGGGGAAAAGAGGAGGCTTTGCTCCCATAGTTACAGTCTCTGAAACCCACAGGGGCAGTTCTACCCTGGCCTGTAGCATAGGGTGGCTATGGGGTGGAATCCACTCCATGGGGGTGAGGTTTGGTTTGGTCTGTAAAATGGGTTGAGTCCCTGAGGTGCTTCAAGCCCATCCCTCAGGGACATGGAAGAAAAGCCTGGCCACAGGAACACACAGAGTCTGCACGAGTTGAAATAGGCTGCAGGGCGAAGGTGTTTTGTTGTTACTGTTATTATTTTATGGGAAGCAGGAACACCACCGCGGCCACCTGGAGCCATTCGTGTGAGAATAAAAGGAGATGATTTAGTGACCAAAATCAAAGCGCCCAAAGCTCATAGGAGGTCTTCTCTGCCTTCGCTGTGGGCCTCAGTTTTCCCAGGTGAAGTTGCGTCCCTGCCAAGCCCCAAGGAAAGGGGGAGGGGGGCCATTGAAGGCAATGACTCAGGCCTTAGCGAGTCCAAGGTCCCAAAGCGAGCCTCAGTTTCCCCATTTGTGAAGCCGCCCCGGGGGGGTTGGGCAGCCAGCGCGGCCGCGCACACAGTTGGAATTGGAATCCGGGGACGTGTAGACTCCCCCATCCCCGACCCCATGCCTCCTGCCCCAGTCTGTCCCGGGGAGCGACCAAGGTGAATGTCCGCGTCCCCGCCGCACCCTCTCTGGAAGTCGCCCACACCAGCCTCCCCTGACCCTGCTCGCATTCCCGGGGCTCCGGCCTCCCGGGCCCAGTCCCGCTCGGCGCTCCTGGCAGGCCTGGGACACTCACCGGCGTTCGAGGCCGTCCCGAGGCTCCGGCCTGGGGAGAAAGAGGGGCGGGTCCGCCCCCAGCAGCACCGCCCCCACGAGCGCAACAGCGACCAATCGGCGCCCGCTGCGGCAGAGGCAGGCCCCGCCCACGAGCCTGGGGACGCTCCCGCCAATCCAGAAGAGCCGCTGGCGGGCCGGGCCAATCAGAAGTTAGCGAAGGGTGCCAGCCGTGGGAAAAGAACGGCCCGAGCGCGGACGGAGGCGGTGCGGGACGACCAATAGCGGGGCGCGAGGGGCGGCCGGGGGCGGGAAACCACTAGGAGGGGGCCCTTCTGAATGGGCTGCTTTGTAAACAGGACGTGAATGGGGACCTTTGTGAGCGCCGGCTGGAGGCCGGAATGCCTGGGTCCCGGGGGAGTCGGCAGGCAGGAGAAGTGGGGGAGAATTTGTACCAGGCACTCTTTCCCAGGCTCTCACCGCCGCCCCCCCGCCCCCCGCAACTGGGAGGCGGGGACCCTGCCTCCAGCACCGGTAACCATGATTCAATAATAATGCCCAGACCAAGCCCACTGCCATCCACTCAGAGTGACCCTATAGGACAGAGCAGAATTGCCCCAAAGGGTTTCCAAAGCTTTGGAAACCCTTTAGGGAAACAGATCGCCACGCCTTTCTTCCGCGGAGCCACCGCACCACCAGGAAGTCCTTCGTCCATCATCATGATCACGTCTTGAGCACAGGCTGGCTGCCAGGCGCTGCGCTCAGCGCTTTGCCAGCATGATCTCACCCGATCCGTGGACAGCATTCCTTGGAAAAGGGAGCCTCAAAGATCTTCATCTTCCAGGTGAGGTCAGCCAACGCTTAGAGACAGGGAGGCGTTAATTGCCTCAACGCACTGAGCTGGCAAGTGGCGGAACAAGCCATCCCAGCAAGATCACTCTGACTCCAGGTCTGCTCCGAACCCTCAGACTGCACCCGCGAAGCGCAGGGTGGCGGCAGCGGTGGCAGTGGAGTCTTCTGGACCCCTGGGGACCGCTTGTGTCACAGAAGCAATGGCTGTCATTCTGCCCAGCTAAACACAAGCCACAAACCGCCATGTCCTGCTCCAGCCACCAGTCCCCCCAGGTCATGTGCAGCCAAGTAATCCAGACGAAGTCTCAGATAATCTGTGTGCTGGAAGGGTCTTCACGGACAGATCTTCCGAAGCCAGAAGGCCAGGCCTTTCTTCCTGGTCTGTTTTAGTCAGGAAACTCCGCCCAAACCTGTCCACCAAGGGTGACCCTGCTGGTATGTTGAAATACTGGTGGTATAGCTGCCAGCGTCACTACATCAAACTGAGTCCCCCCCCCCCACTTCAAATCGATTCCGACTCAAAGCCACGCTACACAGTGATTCCAAGGCTGTGAATCTCTTGTTTTCTTGTGAATTGGGTGGAGGCTGATGTATCAGGTGATCATGTTTGCATTCAGTCACTTAAACAATGTATCAGACCTCCCTGTGGCCTAAGGCACACTCCCCTACCCCATTTCCCTTTTCTTCCCGCCACCCAAGTGACCCTGTCTACCCTGAGGCACTTTGTTTCCCTTTCCCTTCCACCGCTGGTAGCCATCAAAGAAAATATTTTCTTTTTTATTTTGCCCCTCCCTGTAACAAAGCTGTCAACCTCATCTTTCTCCTGCTGACTAGCTGGTGGGTTTGAACTTTGGATCTCAAGGTTAGCAACCCAGCGCTGAACTCCCCATGCCACTAAATCTCCTTGAGCCTGGATAGCCAAACACAAACCGACCACCATGGAGCCAAGGCAGACTCGTAGCAATTCTATTGGACAGGGTAGAACTGCCCCTGTGGGTTTCCAGGACTGTAACTCTACAGGAGTAGAAAGCCTCACTTCCTACAGAACAGTGGGTGGTTTCGAAGTGCTGGCCTTGCGGATTGCAGCCCAACATGTAACCACTACAAGACCAGACCTCATTCTGAACCTTGAGCGTAATTGTCCATTTGTTTATCTGTCTCCCCACTAGAAGTCCCATAAAGGCAAGAATCTTTGTTGTACTCAGTAAGAGGACCCCCAGGAAGGAGCCCTGATGGTGCAGTGTGTTAAGCACCAAGATGTTAACCCCAAGGTCAGAGGCTCAAACCCACCAGCAGCTCCATGGGTGAAAAATGAGGTTGTCCGTTCCCCCTAAAAAGATTTAAGTCTTGGAAGCCCACAGGGGCAGTTCTACTCTGTCCTCTCAGGGGGCTGTGAGCTGCGGTCAGCTTGATGGCGATGGGTTTGTTTTGGGTTTTGGAGATCCCTAGCACCTTGTGCACAGTAAAAACAAACAAACAAACAAACAAAACTCACTGCCCTCAAGTGGACGCAGATGCACAGCGACCCTTAGGACAGAGTAGAACTTCCCCTGTGAGTTTCCGTAACTCTTTAGGGGAGTAGATAGCCCCTTCTTCCTCCAGAGAAACAGCTGGTGGTTTCAAACTGCCGACTTGTAAGTAGCTGCCCAGCACTTAACCACTATAGGCACCAGGGGTCCTCCCCTACAGTAGGCACTCAACAAGCGTTCATTGAATAAACACTGGCAAGACCTTTTCATACAAAGTGCCCTGTACAGTCTCAGGTTTGGGAAGAGGGAAAATCAACAAATAAAACAATTATGATCACAGTTATGTCTTGCCCTTCTGATTGCATGGGAATGGGAAAAAATGAGAGGGAGGGAGTAAGGGAAGGAGGGGGAGAGAGAGAGAGAGAGAGAGAGAAAGAGAGAGAGATGCTCCTAGGGCAGGAGAAAGAAGCCCAGGAGAGGGAATGGCTGAGGGGTAAGAGAAGGTGAGAAGCTGGAATAGGTGTCCGGAAAGGGGCGTGCACAGGTGAGAGCGTCCCAAAGCCAAGATCAATTTGGTCATCACCCATTAGTTTGCAGATGGGGAAATTGAGGCATTGGAGACATGGGCCTTTCTGAAGCCCCCCACCCCCGCCAGTAAACAAAAACAAAACAAACTCATCTGTCTGAGGCCTGGCTGTGTTCTGGGATCCGTGTGATGGTTGTCATTGCGACCCTTCCTCCCCAGCCCTCGGATGTCGGCACTGCCATTATCCTCTTTGATAGAACAGCAAGGGGCCCAGGGTCTCCCGGGTGCTGTTAGGGGAGGGTACGGGCTGGGACTGCAGTGGGTCAAACCACTGAGTCTGTGTTCTTCGCTAAAACAGAATGGAGGACGCCTGTCTTTCTGGCCTGCGACATCCTGCAGTGAGGACAGGAGCTGGGTCTATTGAATGCTGGCTGCGGGCTGGACATCAAGCTCACTGGATTGGCACCTGCTCTGTGTGACGGGCTCTTTTATTACCCATTTGACAGATGAGGAAAACTGAGGCTCGGAGACAGGACAACCTCCTGCCTGACGGTGCGACTGTAGAGCGTGGGCTGAGATCCAACAGAAATTCCCATTGGAAAGAGGCGCCCACACTCACTTGCAAGTCATAACCTGCCTGTAATTAGTGAAGTCATCATTCCCAACACGGGGCTAAATCTGGCTAGCAACTGGTGATGTCATCAACCTCCCTACGGCTCTAGGGGGTAACTGATGAAACCTTGAGTGATAATAATGAGCTTCCTCTTGACCGCAGTTCGAACACCACCAGCCGCTTCCCAGAGAAAGATGAGGCTGTCTGCTCCCTCAAAGATTTACAATCTTAAAATATATATATATATATATATAAAGATTTACAATCTTGGAAACTCACAGGGGACAGTTCCACTCTATCCTACAACGTTTTGAGGGGGTGATGACATCACCAGTTACCAGACAGATTTAGTCCCCTATTGGGAAGGGATAGGGACACCTGTCATTCACACTGCACAGAGGAGGACATGGAGGTCCAATGGCCCGAGGTTGCAAGGAGCCCTCACTGAAAGGTTGGCGGTTGGATCCCACCAGCCACTCTGAGGAAGAAAGAGGAGGTTGTCTGCTTCGCTAAAGATTTACAGCCTCGGAGGTCCCAGGGGCACTTCCGCTCGGTGACTATGAGTCAGGATCAACTCTCTCACAGTGAGTTTGGCCCAACGTTCTTTTTTTTTAATTAATTTTTCTTTTTTAGTGAGTGAGTGAGTGAGTGAATGAGTGAATGAGAGTGAGTCAGTGCATGAGAGTGAGTGAGACAGTGAGAGAGTGAGTGAGTGAGTGAATGAGTGAATGAGAGTGAGTCAGTGAATGAGAGTGAGTGAGACAGTGAGAGAGTGAGTGAATGAGAGTGAGTGAGTGAGTGAATGAGTCAGTGAGTGTGAGTGAGTGAGTGAGTCAGTGAATGAGAGTGAGAGAGTGAGTGAGTGAGTGAGTGAGTGAGTGAATGAGAGTGAGTGAGTGAGTGTGAGTGAGTGAGTGAGTGAGAGAGTGAGTCAGTGAATGAGAATGAGTGAGTGAGTGAATGAGTGAGTGAGGGAGTGAGTGAGTGAGAGAGTGAGTGAGTGAGTGAGTGAATG